TCGGACCAGTTTCTACGTGACCACCTCAGCTGGTTGGGGAAGGCTGTGAATTGGGCCAAGTTTACGGCTACGGCTACTCTAGGCGTTATCCACAAGGGTAGGTGTGGTTTCGTAAGCAAAATAGGTCGCGAAGAAGCATCACACTAACCGCGCGTAAATCCCGTTCGTCTATTTTACTTTTCAGGTCATGAGAAGGAAGCCCTTCGTCTGATGTCGGCCTACCTACCGAAAGATGCCAGCGGAAGCTCCGGTTCCGTCTACACGGAGGGTGGCGGTCTTTTTGCTCTGGGGCTCATCCACGCTAACCATGGTGGTACCATGACTGGTGAGAGAACGTCGGAGAGCACCTTTTAGCGTTTACTTCTTTTTGTTTCATAACTATCTAATTCGGCTTCTTTTTACCACGTTTAAAGAATACCTCCTCACTCAATGCAAAGAGGCTGTTGCAGAACCTGTTCGTCATGGCGCCTGTCTTGGACTGGGCCTTGCGGCTATGGGCACGGGCAGGGAAGATGTCTACGATCAGATCAAATTGAATCTTTATCAGGATGATGCTGTGACAGGTGGGCCATTATTTTGTGATCACCTATTATACAGTTTTAGTACGACTATTTATGAATATGAAGCGTCTGAGTAGGGATTGTACTCAGAGCAATATAATCATCAAACTAAAACTCGGGTTGTAGGAGAAGGCAGAAGTTATTAGAATGAGGGATTTCTTGTGCGCAGAAACTTGAGTTGCTGTCTCAGGCAGCAGTGACCACTGACAAAGCCAGGGCCAATGTTGACTGCATGCAGTCATGCCTGAACGAACGTGTGTGAAACAGAGGTGGTAACTGGTTTTATGCAATTGTCGAGAAAATTCAAGTGGTGTACGAGGGAATGTCGTGTATGGTGAACCCTGCTGCATCGGCCGAGGGGTGGTGTATTCAAGTGCTTCTTTTGCAATCGCAACTATTTGGACGCACGTGCATACGCGTGGGCAAGTAACTCAGGGGTCTTCAGCTCTGCGAGTCGGGAAGGCGCTCCCTGCAAAGTTGCTTGATCTTGTGGCAGTGGACGTTGAAGCAGAAAGTCGGACAGCATTTTTGGCTGTCCGACAAAAATGCACACATTACCGTAGGATGGGGGAAGAATGTACCCTTGTAGTCTTGTTGAATCAAACCAAGCCAGCCGATGATATCGCTATCCCCGGTACCGCTATCGCATCCGTTCGGGCGATGGTACATACACAGCATGCTTATCCTTTGCACGGTAATCAAATTTCTGGGAATTGGTTTGAACCGGTTCCATCTGATAATAGGTACCGATAATTTATGGAATGAGAGGCACTTTTGCTCATTGTAAGATCTGCACAAAACTGATTTCTGAAAAATCAAGGTTGCTTACTGGTGCATTATTCTCGATAGTAATGAAGTGTGCCAATAAGTCATGTTGTAGCGCATTGCGGATGTGTGACTGTCTTCTGTTGTTCATAACGCCCAGAGTTTACGAGATCTTATGTGTGAGGTGAAATGTGTCAGTGAACCCATGTTGTTCCATATAAAGTACTTTGATTTGACACTTAACCGGTTTATCTGTCCTTTTCTCAGGCGAGGCTGCTGGTCTGGCTATGGGCTTAGTCATGCTAGGCACTGGTTCATCTGTCGCTGTGGAGGACCTTCTTGGTTACGCCAAAGAGACTTCTCACGAGAAGATTATCCGAGGCATCGCCCTTGGCATCGCTCTCGTCATGTACGGCCGACAGGAGGAGGCTGATTCCCTCATTGCTACTCTTTCACAGGTAACTTAAACCATTTATAATAGTAATCGGTTTCTCAGTCGGTCGGCTCCTAAGCATATGCCAGTTCATTTTTTTATTTTTTCTGACTCTTAGATGTTCGATTTTACAAAAAAGTGTTTAGTTTATGTGCGGAGAAGGGGTGCCGACTGGAATGACCATTTAAAGTTTGTCAATTTTCCTCAGCCGACCGCACTGAACTCCGGGTTTTCTGGACCTGTAATTTTAATCGGCTGTTTTTGGTCATTGATCATTTATAAGTTCAAATTTCTTCCATTGAGCTCTGCGCTCGATATCCTGTCGGCTGCGATAAGAGATACCATTTTTAGAAAGTACATTCACTAATCGGGGCGGTGCTCCTCAACCAGATGAGGACGCAATTGAGCACCAAGACACAACGGGACGAGGGTATCCCACATCCGGATAGGTGAACACCCTTCTCGCAGTAGCATTCAGCGTGTTTGGTGCTGTTCAGATGTCTTCATACCTTCACAGTTCAGGTCGTGTATTTGGCTGGGGTGCGCTAGAAAGCTGTAGACGTGTTCATCTGTACAAACTGAATAATACTGCAGCTGCCTCCCAATTTGAAATTGTCTTCAAAATTTGACTGACTTCCTGCCTGCTGGAGGATCAACCACATGGGGTCATAACCTTAGCTGACCTGACCTAGAATACACTCGTCCTATTTTGCTTTAGGTCTCCGGCACATCAGACAGTAACTGTGTCTGATGATAGGTCTGTCTGAGATACGGAAAACTAAAGTCAATAGACTTTTTGCCCCAACGTTCGAATCTTATTTTTGTAATATTCTTATGAGATCTTTTGATTTAGTCAGACCCAGTGAATACCAGTCCCACGTGCCTTCGGATAGTTTCTGTCAAAACCCACCATGTTTTAGCCCCCGGCTCCACGGTAAAGTTCTGAGCTTAGTGACTAACTGGCTCACCTTCGGATCTCAAGTCTTCTCGGCTTGAGGTTAAGATATAATTGACTACTAATGACTAGCAAGCAAGAAATGACCTTTACTGTCTCGTTTACCTATGTTGATATTACTTCTCAATCTGCGATAATTTCTCCATCCAATTAAGCGACATTTCATGGCGGTTTGCCCTGTGACAAGTTTTTTTGTGTGATCAACCTAGTGCAAGGTTAATGCGGAATAGTTGGCTGACCTGAACTCCGTTGACAGCCTCACGCATTACCGGCACACTAAACAGCTATCTCTCGTGGTCGTGTAGTGCACGTCCGAAAGTTGGTCTTCACGTTAAATATCGTTTGCCAATATAAGCGAACTTGCGAGTCCCTGGAAGTAATTGAGAAGAAGATGCGATAACTAGGACAAGAATTTTATTTTTGTGACGTTTCGAAATTCGTCACGGGCCCTTGATTAGAAACAATAACAGAAACGGGTTTGTCATTGTCTCTGATGATGGATCCGCGATAGATTTCGAAACGTTAGACGAATAAAATTATTGTCCCAGCGATCACATCTACCTCATCTTCTCAAGC